ATGTCTTCAGAAAGTAGAATAAAAACCCCACTTGAAATTGCAGATGCCCTTTTTTAGTCTTGATTTGCATTTTCTGGATGTTCACTAGATGGACTTTTACTCTGAAGCAGGAATACCCAAGAAGAGACCGTGGCAGTTCCAGATGCCAGCTTTTTCACAGACTTGATATGCTCCCCATAAGCTTACATCCCACCCTGTACAGTTAGATTTGTATTTCATCCTGACACAAAGGTACCTCTGGATTGCCTTCTAACTACAATGGCTAGAACTACACCTGACAGAACATACAGTACTTCATGGGCACACAAAGCAACTCATGTGACTCAGGCATGGCTTAGTTCACCACCAAGGTCCATCCCTGCACCCCAGGTAACCAGAAGGCACCACCTGAGACACGTTTGTGGTGCAGTGTATTCCTGGTGGCCCTGCAGATATTCAGTGGTCTGTGGCCTGCAGACTAAGAATCAAATGTACAAAAGTATTTGGAAAGACAGACATAAGAACAAAACTGAGCTAGGTACTTGCTATCTCTGTTGTTCCTTACTGCAAAGATAAAATGGAGTTCTTAAAAAGTGTCTGGAGACAATGAAGCCCTAACTTACACAGCACAAACTAGATACAAACACCTCCACTACCTCTGGTCCCTTCCACAGAGTTGGACTTGTCTCTAACAAAGAAGAAAGATTTCTCCTTTTTAGTAGACTTCAGAGAACAGTGAGAAAAGAGATGCTCAGCTTGCTCCCCTCCTTTAATTGAGCTCTAGGTCACCCAGTCTGCCTGCAAGTACAAAGGAGGTGCCTGCACACAAACTACGGAGGTCACCTTTGTTCCTATGTACTATCACTGATGAAAGATTTTAAGAAAGAAAACAAGAGTCAATATATTATTTTCTTCAATGAATAACAGAAGTTTGTAAGAAAAGATGGATTCTTCACACTTTTATAAACAGAATGAGAGGAGTTGCCTTTCACCCCATAGTCTCCTTTTCCTGTCTCCAAAACAATAATACTCAGGCCTTCAGCTTCTCAAACTGGGACTGGTGCACAATCAGGAATTCTTGCCACGCTCCTGCATTTCTTGAGAAACTACTGTGATACAATTTTCATAATCCTGGCAGTGTCAGAGAACCAAGCTTTGCTAACCAATAGGTGAAAGGTGCTTAGAATGTGGCATCTGAATTCCAGAAACATAGAAAAAACCTCTTCTCTTTCAGAATGTCATTTATTGTTCAGGATGATCCTTCTATATTTAGTCTGAACCCTCTTGCTTCAAATTCCATGAACACAAACAGACTTCCTAGGTTAGGAAAGGTCATCTACTTTTCTGCACTGTTGAAAATTCAACACCCCAACACCCCATTACACTTCAGCTCTGTAATTCTGCTTGTGAGAAGAGCAGTGAAGGCATGACAAGAGACAGTTTATATTTTTCCTCATTTCAACACTGCAGTGACTCAGTACAAGAAAGGAGAGTTGATCTCTCTGCCAAGAGATGGTACAACAAAAGAGTCTGTCAGCTCATCCCTCAAATGGCTCTGCAGCACACAGTTCTAAAACAGTATTTTTACAGTATCATTGCCTCCTCAGTAAATATGAAGTCACCTTAAATCATGGTAAACAGTTACTAAGTGCATAAATAGCTAATTTTCTGATACCATAATCATAGTTATTAATAATTTCTGGATTTCATCTTCCTTAAAGATTACTGGATCTAAGCATGAGGCACACAAAGGAAAGAGGAAGAGACCAAGACAGGTAGAATTAAACAGTCCTGTCTCACTTAGCACTACAGCTCTCGTGTACAGTTCTGCCTGCTAACACACAAGGCTGATTTAGAACAAGTTTCTTCTTGATGAAATTTCTTCATGGAAAGGGTTGTCAAGCATTGGCATGAACTGCCCAGGGAGGTGGTGCAGTCACACTCTCTGGAGGTGTTCAAGAAACAACAGGACATTATACTTGGTGCCATGGTGTAGTTGACAAGGTTGGTGATCAGTCAAAGGTTGGAATCCACGATCTTAGAGGCCTTTTCCAACCTAAATGATTCTGTGATTCTGCAAACATTAAGACCTGAGCTACTGTCCATACAGTTTAGTCAGAAACTCCTGAGCTAGTTTTAAACCAGGCAGTCTTTGCCTGGCAGTAGCATGGGCCTTGGGTCAGCCTTGGGTCAGCACCAGAATCAAGGCCATGCAGTGTCACGTCATGTTTTTACTCTGAACAATAATCAAGTCCAAAGACGTAACACAAGGGTCCTAGCATCACAAAAATTCAGGGATCAGCTTCTACTGGCATTCATCATCTGCTGCTCAAAATCTTTATCAAAATCAGGACTCTTATGAACTAAAAATGGAAAAGGTTTTTCTTACTAGATCAAGAAAAATCACCATATGTAAATAAAAGGTGAAAAAAATACTTGAAAATGTCTAGCAATCCAAATAAAGGATAAAAGTTTAAAAGAAAATTTAATAGTTAATAGGTTCAAATCACTAGAACTATTTTTCAAATCATATTCTTGCAAGGAAGGTATTTCTTGGTGTGATATACCATCACATTTTCACATAAAAACTACTAGGGAATTGCAAAACATGATTTCAACATCATCATTCAAGCATGCAGAGTACTGAAAAATCACCAGCATGATAGAGGCCCACAATCCACCTATGACTGCAAACTTTCACATGGAAAGCTCACAGCTGCAGCCATTTGCTTTAAACAGAGTGACGTGGACAAAATCTGCATTTCCAAGAAAGATATTCTGAGTCAGACTAAAGGGCTGTCTAAATCTTGAAGCTGCTTCAAGTGGGTACCACCAGTGGGATGAAGAGCACTGAAGAACATGTAGTCATGAATCCCTAAAATATTGCTCCTCCTTTAAATGCTTAGTGACTGTATTCAGAAGTATGCCAACAGATTTTTCTTTTATTTTTTTCCCTTAAGTCTTGAAATCCCTATAATCTTTTGGCATTCACCAATCCTGTTGCAAAGAGCTCCTCAGCCTTATCACATGTTGTACAGACTCCTCCACTGCCACACACTGTGTACGTTTCATGTACCCTGTTCCTGTATTGTAAAACTGTGAACAGGAGCTCTTTATGCCACCCATAAGCCTTAAATAAACCCTTGATCATCAGTTTTCCATGCTGAAGACTCATGTTCTGAATATTTTACCCTTATCTTTAAATACCTTACTCCCTCAGCTTTACAGACAGTATTTTTTTCCACAACAAAGAGCAAACCCGTTTCTTCAAGCAGGCAGTGTAAGTGCCAAACCCTGAACTACGTGGCAAATGGATGCAATCGTTTTTCTGCAGTGAATGAAAATGAACAGCTTGTCTTCTAAAGGAGCTACTCAAAGTTACCCCGGTTGAGTGGGAACTAGTTATACACAGGGAACACACTTGAGACTTTTTTCCACATACTGAGTTTATTTTTGGCTAGACAGCCAGTTTAGCTTTACATTAAAACCTGGACTTTAAGGCTTGCATTATGTATGAGAATCCAGATAAGTTTACAGTGTTAATTATTCCACACAAAAGAAAACCTGCCATTAGCAATTCAATGCATCATTTATATCATCAAAATAAAAAGAACAATTCCCTTTCTTCTAATAAATTTGGACATAACAACTGCATCACTTTACCAGTTTAGCTCCTTGCTCTTAAGTTACTGATTCACAGGTATGCTCCTATTCAGTGCAATAATTATGAAAATTAGTTTTATCACATGAACTTTTGACTGGGATCCATTACAATGCCATTCTGCCTCTCCCAAGCATCTAGAATATCATGGTTTCAAAGTTCAAGGTGCTTTGCCAAAGCAATTTATTTGCCATGGGCATGCCCAGGGTACCAGTTTCTTACCTTATTACAAGAGACATCGTCCAGAGCTCTATCAGTCTGAAAGGGTCAACAGAAATTAACAGACAGAAGAGGGGGTTTTGGTGTTGTCAGCAACAAACATTTTCCCATACATGTAAGCATGAAGGTGTTGAGCAAGGAGTGTTGATTATGGCACTACTTTAATGAGTCTGTAAGATCATGATTTTGTGCTAAGTAATGCACAGAGCAACCTTGGCATTCCTGTAAACTGTTTAAAATTTAAGTATTAAAGAGCTTGTAAGAGTAAACAAGGGACACAAAGGGTGAACACTGGTAGTGGTAGACTACACTGGTAGTCACAGCCTCCTATTTTAGCAGACTCAAGTAGCATTTAAAGGCACATCTTGCACTAATGCCCAGGGCAATGAGACATGTAGGAAGGACAGAAGTTCTCCCTATTATTAGGCTCAAGAGAAAGAATTGAAAAGGGGTCCTCTGACTCAGTGGGGAAGAAACCCTGGGAATCTGCCTTACTGGAGCCATGGTGACCATAGAATAACATTCAGCAGCAGAAAATGATAAAGAAGAAGACCAGTTTCAGTAAGCTCAGCCATATTAAAAGCTAAAGGCATATAGACATGTAGAGCCTATGAAATGATAGGAACAGTGGTCAGTGAGCTGTAACAAAAAACATAAGTTTTTGAGTCAAGCTAAAATAAAAGGGAAAAAGGCAATGCCATGAAGGGATGATCTCCAGAAAATGTCATCATGTCACAAATACACTTTCTTTTTCCCCTGGAAGAGTGAAAGGGCTGATCAAATTACGAAGTGCAGAGGTGCAGCCCTGTGAATACACAATTCCCTGCTAGGCTGTCTGCTCCGCTGCTGCAATGCTCTGGCCCAGACAGCCTGAAGTCATGGCCACCACCCACCATGGCAGAACACTGACTGCTCATCCTGCAGCCTCATCAGCACACCCAAACTAAAAGGCAAGGACAGTCACCAGCAAAGTCCTCAGTTATGCAATGTCTCAACTCCCTGTCACAGCCTACAGAATCAATTTGTTTATTGTTACAGAATTCAAGGCTATGATCTCAAAAGCACCCCTAAACACAGAACTCCTCCTAAACAAACAAACATAGACTATTCAGATTTACAAAAGGAATATATTCATTTTCAGTTAAGCAGCTTTTCCAATGATCAGTACACTCATAAAAAACACCATGATAAAGAAAATCCACATGAAAAACCTGTCCATCACTTTTGCAACTTTTTTCCACTCAATTCCTTTGGCCCGGTTTGCTTTATGGTCTCTAACACAATTAGCAATATACTCAATATTTTTAATCAGCATTTTGTAACAAGAACAGCAATTAACAGTCTCCCTAACATTTTCACCATTTACCCCATAGCTTTTATTCCAATTTCCATTGAGCTTTTCCTTGAGATTGCAGTCATCATTCCTAGTGGAAAGAGAACTCCTTACCTCTTTGTGCCTCCTCTGGCATCCATCATCCCCCTCAAACCTATATTCTTCTTCCTTCTCTCTTTTTGGACTTGTGCAATTTTCACCCACATCATAAACAAAAAAGATTTTTGACATATAGTCCAAAATAACCACCTTGGCCCACTGTGGAACAGGCTTTGCTTCTGAGCCACAATGATGGAGATTCATTATAATGATTGTCAATGCAGTGGAAGCTGTGATCATGGTCATAGTTGCTATATAGTACTTTCCTAGAACACAAAATTAAATCATATTAAAGATGTTAGTCTAATAAAAAAAATTAAATGAGAAGTAACAATGTGACAACATAGTGTTGAGCATAAATGCAAATGAAACAAAGTTTTAATTACCTTAATTTTCTTAGATCACAATTCACCATTTAAAAACAAAGATAGAAGCTGTTAAAATAAAATCTACACATCACTGGCATGTCTTTATTAGATGAGTATGTGACTACTGTATTAGCATGGTAAATATTTGCATGCTAAAACCTCTGATTACTTGAAACACATCCATTCAGAAAGCAGCTCAAAAATGTTTCTCAAGAGCTTTGCCTTTTTCATAGTGTCTGCAAAGTCTCCCATGTCAATGGCTTCACATGGCACCTTGGAAATCCCACTTCCTCATGTATTAACAACAGTGATGATAACCCCTAGTTTGAGCTGTTGGTGCACCCCACTCCAGCAGATCTATGCTTTCACACTCAAACATGTCAGTGAATATGCAGGCTTTGTTGGTATCCACAACCAGTGTGCTGCCAGCTCAGAGGTCAGAGCACAGAGCTGAAGAGAATACAAGCTGTGCTCCTCTGCCCTTGTTTTTGGCAGCTGAAGAACACAGCTGACCAGCCAAGCAACCTATGCAGAGAGGCAGCTCCCAGCCCTGCTCTGCAGCAGGAAAAGCAAGGACTGACAGCAGTGACACAGGATGTGCCACAGACAGGTGTGACCTGAGCCCAGTTTCAAAGGGACTGGAAAGGATGGCAAGGGAGAGTGTGGGAATAGAGAAAACAGACTAAGCTAGGTTCCTTTCATTGCACATGAACTTTTTTGAACTCCAGGATATAAATTAAATTTCAGCATAATGGATTCCCAGAAGCTATAATCCAATGTAGCAATTGTCAGATATTAAGTCAACTTTGAGTATGCCAGCCAGGCCATCCAACTATCTTGATCTGACAGAAACATATCTTGAAACAGTCTGACCTTGTGCTTATAGCTCTTGATTATACTTCATGTGTTAGTTCTAAAATTGTTTTCCTTTGGTAACTTTATTTCAAGATGTGATACCATAATTCTAAATAACTAACTATATTTAATAAATATAAAATAGCTAGCTAATGTATAATTTAAAATAAACACAAAATAACTTCTAAAAACTGCAGCATACCTATACAAATTCCTCACATAATTTAAGTACTTCACTGTTGCAAAAATATAGCAAATTTATCTTCTGAGAAATCACAAATTACTTAGATTCCCTGACATACAGCCCTGCTATTAATAAGTCATGCTTAAAGACAAAGTGTGTAAAGCTCACCTATCAAAGGAACATTTTCAGATGGGGGCATGATCTCTGCAACCATCAGCTGGAACACAGTTAGAGCAAGAAGAACTGTAACACCCAGAGACACTTTCTCACCAGAGTCTGCAGGGAGATAGAATCCCAGTGGGGCCAGGAAGGAGATCAAAATGCAAGGAAGCAGCAAATTAAATATGTAGAAAGAGGACTTCCTTTTCAAAATCAGCGTGAAGGTCACATCTGGGTAAGGCTCAGAACAGCAGCCATAAGTGATAACATTCTTAACTGCTGGCATACCATGAATCTCCCATTCCACATCTTCTATGAAGTCAGAGAGGTCACCACTATCAAGAGAATTGATGATGTCTACCTGATTACCATTATAGGTCCAGGACCCAAAGGTAAGGTTGCACTGCTGGCTGTCAAAAGGAAAGTAAGATACATCCACTACACAAGAGCTCTTTGTGATGGCAGGTGCATCCCAAGTGATTTTTCCATCGTATCTCAGCACTACATTAGTATTTACTGGTTCTGAAAAGTCATCATCAGCCCTAAAAGACAGAAAAATGACAATCAGGACTGACAGACAAGGGTGTTGGCCAGAGAAGGAGGGCAATGGAGAAGACCCTCCTTTCACACCATTAAAATCATGCTTCTGAAATCATATTTACACTGAATTTTAGTAGGAACTTACTCTTAACCATTATTTACAGGTATGAGTGCCCATGAATGCCAAATATCAGTGCTGCTAAATGATATTGTGTTTGTTTGCCATAGTTTCCTCAAACTTGACCTCAAGCAGGACACAGTAGGAGAAGAGTCCATTAAAAGTTGAAAACAATTTGCAGGTCATTATTGGCCTAGGAGAGCAGACAAGGAGTGCAGCCTTTATGTATCATCTGTTTGTGGACAATCTGCCAGGGTTCTCTAGGAGCCTCAGCAGAAAGCACCTCAGACAGCCAGGGTGTTCAATTCCCAGTGCAGAGAAATCCAGAAAAGCTTTGCTGTGTAGCACAATTTTCAGATCTTGTCTATAGCTTTATTGCAAAATATTTAGATTATCAACAACAAATGTTAAGACAACAAACATATCCCTTGCTAAGGTAAGGTAGAGATGAAAGTTCAGTCTCTGTAGGCCAGTTACTCCTTTAACCCCCTCCCTCCCTCAAATATGCAAGCTGATTTTCTCCAGCCACACTCACTTGTTATATAGGACAATATCTGGTCTCCAAACCAAATTGCTTGGAATCCTGATGGAATCCAACCCATCATATTTATCTTTGTCCCATCTGAGGTATGCATCATACCAGCTTTGTCGAATCCATAAGTAAGCTGACAAAATTTGGTTCCTTTCATCCTGCATAAAAATGTGGAAATATTTCTAGCTGAAGATGACAAAATCACATCTCAGACACAGACAGCATTTGTGATATGGCTTTGTTGTAGTGCTCAAAACAGGCCAGAATACTGACAGGCCACAGAATAATTCTCCAGTTATTAGAGATGCCTAGAATTAGTCATCTAAGCCCATAAACTGTGCAGGGAAATCATTGGCTTGGACTTTTGCTTGTGTAAACCTTCTTCTCTTAGCACCTTCTCTAGTTCTAATCACAGTGTCTAATTCTCCCAGTTCTTCCTAATTTCCTTTTGTGAGCTTCAGAATAGCAAATAGCTAACAGATTCAGGCTAAGAAATTCTTTGAGAGCTTGGCGAGGCCTTGAAATTATAATTCAGAAGTCACAAAAATAATCTTCCCTCCTCCTTCCAGACACATTTTCTTTTGCCTTAAAAGTGTATCTAAAAAAAACATATTTATAAAAATTACTGAAGGCTAATTTTAGGGATTTTATGTAGAAACTAATTGCATCTTAGAAAAAGCATTTGCTGTATTTAAAACTCAGCAAAAGTTGCCTGGAGGGGGTGGAACCAACACTTAACTACAAAAGAAGTCTTAAAAATTCAGCAGCTCTAAATTTCCAGACTTAAAATGGAAGCCTTAAGAGTTGCAGCCAAAGAAGAATGTACAAAAAACTGGAGAACAAGACACACCCCCACCCCCTCAGGCCACCCCCTCTCTCCTCCTGTGAGGAAACATTTCTGAAGTTGTCACAACAAAATGAAGGTTGCTTTTCCTATTCCAAACAAAAGGCTTACAGCTAGTATATTCCTGCATCATTTTAGAAAAACAGAACCGTGTTTTTACTCACCATGTCTTTAATTTGGGACAATGTGATCTGAATGGTGACATTCAGTACTTTATCTGTGTCTTCCACTGGTCTTAGAGCATTGGAGTAGTCTTCAAACAGTTCATTGAACAGCATGTGAGCATATTTTCCTTTGGCTGATTCTGCAGCTAGATGACACAGACTTGTTCAGTACATCAGATTAAGCACTGAGCAGCATCAGAAAACCCCCTCTTTCTACTGCTTCAGGCAGTATTTGCTATAATCATATTTATCATTATATATGGTAGAATATCATTAGTTCAGGTACAGAAGTGTACCTGAAGAAGTTATTCAAATAAAGACAGCGTTCACCTGGAGCAGATGAATAGCTAACTTAAGCTTTTCACACCCACTGAAAAAACTCTCTCTATGCAGCTATTCCTACATTTTTTGTAAGTAAATATAATTACTTTTATTTTACCAAAGGCTTTCACAGGCAGATATTATTGACTTCCAGTGTGCAAGGTCTGAAATCACACTTCCTCACAGGTTTTTGGTGTGTTCCCAAATGCAGCGCTGGTAAGATTCCTGCTACTTCCAGAATTTTGTCTTTTTTCTTTTTAAACTACCACCTGTAAAATGTCTGAGCTGCTTTTCTTCACAAGATGGCAATTGCATAATGTGTGTACCAACATATTTTCCAAACCATGTATTTGAAGATGCTTCTTGCTATCTGGATTTAAAGATTTAAAGATTTATCTAAAAAGAAATAATTTTAATTTTTTTTTTTTAATTAAAGATAATCGACTGAAATTTGAGGGTTTAAATTACACTTTTGCTGTTTCATACTGTTTTGTACATCACAGTTTCTCTAGGCAGCCTCTGTATCATCTTTACATAGATTCACAAATTTCTGGAAGCAAAGGGCAAGGACAAGAAAACCACTCTGTTATCAACCCACCCCTGAAGGTGGGGTATCTGAGGTTCTTAATAGATCCCTTGGGATGGATAAGAGTGAAACAACGTGGGTTATGTATAAATACATATATTTATGTATGGCAGGTTTATTTTAGAACAATTTGGTTGCAATGGTGTGTGTCACTGAAACTACAGGGAAAATGGAAACTCTCCAAGGAAGTCTTTTCAATGTTAGAGAATTAGGCATCACTTTATTATGGGCAGGATGGTATTCTGAGCAGGACATGCAATGGAAATTATTTCATCTACACATACCCAGGTTGTGCAGTGAAAATCATTCCACCATACATAATTATTTACCAAATTTTTACCTATTTGTACATAAAAATCCCAAAGAAATTCACGTTCAAATTACACAATTCTTAGTGTTCAATCATCCATTGATTATTGAATCCCTTCACCTTCGATACTAATTGGGCCCTCATTCCTGGGTTTTCTTACCAATCTTTACCCAGACCAGGTGTCTCCAGAGGAGTAATGCCCTTTAATGTTTGTTTATTCCCTGTGTACCTTCTGGCTACTCCCCATCTGTAGATGTTAAACTCATCAGATGTCACACGGTGAACAGTCTTTTGAAGAGAAACTTCAATTCCCCTCCCCCTGGGCAAAGGCGAACAACCCCCTGACTAAAGCTACAAAAAAACAATGTTAAAAGTAGCATCAATTCCAACAATGGGAAAGAGGTACGTGGTCGTACCCGCTATTATCTATAGAAATGAAACAATATAAAAGCATAAAGACTACATTCAAGAAAATACAGGAGGAAAAGAAAGAAAAAGAAGGAAGGGACAAGAGCAGATAACGGAGAGGACCGATTATCAGCATACATGATAAAGTATTATCCCCTCTCACAGGTTCTGCTTCTTATCGGTCTTTTCCCTTATCTGGCTCAAAACATTGTTTATCTTGTTGCTAAACAAAGGTTAATTAGTCGTGGTGATCTCTGGCGACGGGTGCTCACCCCTTTGTACCTGGCGTGTTCTTATGCAGGTTCAAAACCTTATCTTCGGTTGTGTGGTGCAAATCCAGCCTCATCAGAGCACCCGCTGCTTTTGCAAATGGCCAATTGTTTGAGTCATCGCTTCAGCATTTCAATCGCTCACACACTCGCAAGACTTGCGCAAATGCCAGGTGGCAACATGTAGGGAACAAGTACTTCGGAGTACATCTCTCTCTGGTGATTCACATCGACTTCCTGGACTAATTTAAGAGCTCAAAGCAAATCTTCCTGACTAAAAAGACATTCCAACAGATCACAGCTTCCCGAACAGCGCTGCAGTTCTGGTTCCGTACATGATAATTTTGTTTATGCATCAATGAGACAAAGTAAAACTAAACAGATTAAACACTTCTGGGGCTCAGCCACGTAGGGTACATCGGGTCACAAGATCCTATCTGAATAAAATAAACCTCAGTGCAACATTTTGTTAGCAAGCAGCATTCTCACCTTTGAGTATCACTGCTGTGAACAGCAGCCACAGAGAGACGTAAAAGGAGGAGAGGCTCCTTATCTTCATTTCTGGACTTTAAATAAATAAAACTGCTCACCCAAGAGCACAAAAAGTGTTTACCACCATGCAAAACTATCCAAAGAGTAAATCAAGTTGTACAGTAGCATCAAGGTGCTGATACACTGACGAGCTTCTAGAAGCAATCGTGTGCTCGCTCAGCAGCTGGCAGAGTCCTACAGCGATCATGGGCTCCCTCCCTCTCCTGGTAACCTGAGCGCTGCCTGCTCTCAGCCTGATGCTGAGACAGAAAACCAACAGATTGGGTATCACTGTGAAAATTGAATTCCATTGCATTTATACCACAAATGTAAGATTTCGTCTAGTTTATGACAAATTCTTTTACAGTTCTTTGGAAGGCTTTGTTTTACTGCACTTATGTTCTGCGATTGCCCGCTCAGAACCAGTTCTGTGGAATTTGTGGACCTTCACAAAAAAGTGATCTGACTTGGTGCTTTAACAGGAATAGCAACCCTGTACATCACACATCTAATATCAAACAGAAAAAATATCCCAATACCCACAGCCACAGCCTACTTACTTCCATGCTGATAAAACAAGGTTGTCATTACTAAAATATTGCCACGTGGAAGAGATGCAGTTGTACCAAAGTCAGAAAACACATCTGATATTTGCAGTAGCCCAATATCACTGTGCAAACAAGAACTTCAACAGGTGTAGACAACTTGGAGACCAGTATTCAACGCAGTAAATCAGTAGCAAAACCAGACTTTGCAGGTAAAATGCCATTTCCCTTATACAGTACAATTTTTCACAGATGAACTTGACAAAAATTTACTGTTACTAGACCACACTTAACATTTAGCCAAAAGAGTTTCAGGAGAAAATACAAACATGAAACAACACCTGGCCTTCCATCTCACCCTGATGGCAAGAAGTTCAATAGCTCTGTGTATATTTCTCATGTTGTCAAGTAACCTTCCTAGTACCACAGACATTTTCTTTCAAGTTTCTCAGACAAGAGATTATTTTCTCCTCTCCACAGTCCAATCCATCCTTCCTGATGATATACTGCAGTCCATTTTGCCATCCTTTTAGAACAGGAAAGAGTCACTAGAACAGAAAGTGAAAATATAGAATGGGCTACTGGAAACAAAATTGGTCCAGGATAGTCCTGATCCACAGAAAACATATAATACTGTTGCTTTACTCTTGCACAGTCTTTTGGCTAGAAGAAAATTATCCCTCCATAAACATAATTTCAACACAGCAGCATTACAAGCAGCCACTGGCTAATGTTTGTGCTTTTGTGGGATTTATAAATCAATTACATTTATGGCCAGCTTTATTAAGTCAGCAATAAATAATTTCAGTAAAAGATCCTGTAATGAAATCCATCTCTGTCATTTCATTTGCTAAATTGTCAAAGGAGTAAAACAGTAGAAAATTGTTTAGAAGTCAAAAAGGTCAGAGCAGCCCCTAGGCAGTATGTAATGACCTGCATTCTCTGTGAGATGAAGGTATATGATGCTACAGACAACAAAAATCATGGACAGAAGATGAAAGATTTTTGGATACAGTCAGATAAGTGCATTCTCAGGGCATAATTTTAGTCTGCAATAAATTGCCATTCTATCAGCAAGGAGCTACTGCATGACATCTCTTGCTGTAATCACAGGAGTGATCAGGGGTGCTGCCTTAAGAGAGCTGCTGTAAACACTACTGGAACCAGAACTAGCCTTGCTCTACCACAGGCTTGAGACAACCATGTGACCTGTTACATCAGCAATACACACATGCCAAGCAGTGTGGACTGAGGTACTTTAATTTGCATAAGATATTGCATAATTTGCACAAGAACACATATTAAAGTACCATACACATCTACTGGAACAAAGTCTTCTTGAAGGGAAACAGCGGGTTCCCCAAAAAAACATAAAGCATATTTATATGTTGTTTACCCAATTTATTCTTATTTATGCACATACAGTTCCATAATATTAATTATAATTTTGTAAAGGGATAGATCATAAGCTGGGATTTATAACCTATAATATTTTCAGTCATCGCACTGGACATACAGACAGGTAAACATGAGCACACATATATTAGACATGTCTGTTATGTTTGAGATGATGCATTGATTGCACACTGCTTTTGTTTACTGCAAAAGTAAACTAAAATACATCCAAAAGCCTTTTCAATACCGAAGACACAAGAAATTTAACAATGTTAGTATGACAGACCATTTGGCTTCTTTATGTTTGTTCACAAGATATCTGATTTGTATTTTTAGTCAGAATATCCCTAATGTATTCATTTTGTGTGAATGATGCCGAGCATTAACATTGATTTCTCGTTGATCTGAGAGATTAATCTATAAACCCACACCTCCTCAGAACACAGTTTTAACTTTTGGCACGATCTAAGGCAATACTAGCCCCAGATCAAACATCCCATTTAACTTTTGAATAGATCTTAAATTTATAGGTAAAGAGTTGTCTTTCTTTACAGTAAAAAGTTCTGCTACCAAGTCAGAAAGCAATACAAGATAAGAAGCCGCTGACAAAGATAATTTGAGTCACGAGTATTCGGGAGTTAGAATGAAGCCATTAGCACTGCCAGAAGTAGGGTCGTTGCCAGCAGAATTCACAGGGATGCAGCCGGAGTCTCTCTGCCAGCAGATGGCCCTGTCACCCAGCCCACTGATCCACCCCGAGGGACGGGGCGGAAAATCACACAAGAATCACAAGGCATTACAGCCTGCCTCCATCCGCTCCGCAGATCGTTTGCCTTACGCTTGATGTAAGACACGGTGAGACAAGATGTTCTTTTAAAGCGAAAGATGAGCAGAAGGAACAAAACCGTTTGGTGGCTGAATCCGGGGTTTTTCCAGACCTCCTTCTCCGGCAGGACCCAGCAGAGACCGGTCCCGGGAGGGTTTCCAGGGAGCGAACACCAGCCATTGCATTCAGCTGTGAGTCCATACAACACCGCATTTGGAGCACAGGCTGCTTCTGCTGGTGCGGGGAGGGCTTTAAGGCCCATGGAACAATATCCACCCTTGCTCCCACATACTTTGTTCAGACGTTTGATTTCGTGGCAGTGAGTATGGGATATTATCAGAGCAGAGCGCTGTGTTCACGCGCACAGTGGGACAAGAGCAGACCATTCATTGGTGCACTGAGCTTGTACACCACTCATGTAACACATGTAACTTTTCATGCTTCTAGACACACATATACTATTATGTGGACATCATTAAAAATCTAAATTCACTATACTACAAGGGAAGTTTGACTTTGAATGTGATCTAAGTACAGACTGGAGATTACATAGGAGAGATCTCCTTCATATTAAAACTTCCAAAGTTAGGTATATATCTTAGCCAAACTATAAGCAATGTAGTTAAGAAGTGTAAAAACATATTTAGAATTTTGTTCTTTCAATCCTTCTTCTGCAAAAAAATAATAATTTGCTCTTGAGCCTAAGGTTTTTACATGTACATTTTCAGATTTTTTTTTATGGATTCTTACCCCTTTTTGCATAAAAACCATTAAGAGTTTTCAAGCCTTCAACTGGAAAAGCTGCAGATACTGTACTGTCACAGGCCTCAAGGCCGTCTGTACCATTTATAATCCATCCCTTCATCAGAGAACAATAAAGAAGAACAGATTGGTTTCTAAGCACAGTTTGTAAGAAATGTCTCACAGTCTGCTTCTACTTGCCTTCCTGCCAATTTTTCCCCACAGAAGCTGTTGCATTCACTTTCTTCACAGCATTTGCTACTGAATATTATCTTGTGATAGGGTCAAGCAGCACACTAACTGTTCAGAGTCAGACTTCTCTCCTTAGACTAACTGGTCGTAACAGCACGGGTAAGGACAGCTCTTGCTGCCAGCAGAACAGCCTCACTGAGCCTACTCTAGAGAACACAGCACTTGATTTAGATGCAACATGTTTCTCTCCACCTCATTTTTTCTCACCCACCTACTGCCTCCTCCTTCCTTCTCTCTAAAAATCCCCTACCACCCAAAACCAACATACTCATTCATATTTTCTTCCACCCTGCTGTGCACACGGAAGATATGAAATACATTAGGAAGCGTTCACAATTCTAGGTCATGAGATAATGTAGATTAGCCACGTATTCCAGAGGTGGGAAAACGTATTAGCCACGTTTTCCAGAGGTGGGAAATCCTCATTTGCATGTTACAGTTGTGAGGTTTTCTCAGTATAAATTATTTGGGTACACTTACACAGGCAGCTCTGCCAACCATCTCCCAGCCCCAAAGAGAAACTTTCTGAACCTAGAAGTCTGCTAGTACTTAATGTGGTCTAACATGCAGCAGGTTACTCCTTTTCCACCACAATGCTTACAAGCTCATTAGTATTTTGTCCATCAGTATCTGGCAGGGTTAAGGACAAACCTAGTTTATAACTTTAGGTATCAGAAAGCTATTTTACATACAGCTCTTTCTCACTGGGATAATTTCCAGCTTTGTAGCATGCCTTTGAATGGCCAATTGCAGAAGCTGTGCTCTAGGCAAAGACAGAGGCAACCTCTGGGCCTAGACACAAATCACAAATTTGCTCTGATCAGGCAGCCTGATGCTCCAAACCAAGCTGAATTAGAGAAAAATTCCTACACTGTTACAAATGTGCTGACAGACTCAAACATCTTCCTCTTGATGATCACTCTTGAGCCATGGAAGGCAGCACACCACCTCAGCTGTTGGAGTAGAGGGAAGTCTTCCAGCTACCATTGCAGGCTGAAGACAGCTCTAGGTGTCCCAACTTGTACACATATCACAGAAAACCCCAGACATTAAACCAGTGTCTGAAGAGGCAAGATTGAAAGGCAACAGTTTAGACACTAACTCAAAACTGAATTTCGCTCTCTCCAAAATGTAGAGGTAAATAGGAACATCCCTTTAAAACACTACCAAAAATCACAACCACAAGAGTACCAGCATAGAGGGTTTAGCATTTCCTGCAAACCTGGTAAGCTCACATCCACCCTGTAACACAAAGTACGGCACAACTAC